CATTATATGTTTTGTTCCGGTCAAGCAAACTTGAGTTGAACGTTGAGAACAGTGAGTCTGTGTATCACTGTTTGTAGTATATGAGTATACAGGATGAGCTCTGATGTTGGAGCTACTTATGCTCATACTCATTTCCTGTGACACTGACAGACGTTTTCATGTCCACGCACGCAGCCCTCCTTCACCATTTTTCTCTTCTCAGCACTTCGGCTCCTCTCAGCAGGAGAGTAATAATGGACACCCACTCCATTAGGAGCATGTTACCTTTTCACTCCGTCATCTATTTATTCTGCCCCCACCCCCCACCCCCGACTCTGTTTACTCCGTTTTGTCTATTTTCCATGTCAGCTGCCCGGCTCGAGCCCACCACTCTGCAGTTCGGTTCTTTATCCTCCGAAATTGGATAAAAGATTAAAGGAGCTGAGCTCATTCAGTATTTTCTGTATTTTCCAACAAAAATCWGTATTTATTTCCTCAGTGCTGTCTAAATATGAAGTATCCCAAATCTTCATGAAAGATTTTGCAAATGGGATCCCTGGAAAAAAGCAGATTCTCTGAGTGAGTGGGTGTTTCATCAARTGATTATGAGATCTGATTTAGAACACAGATCCAAAACATTTAGAGCTACTCTGTGGCCTTTAAATGCAGAACTAGCAGTCCAGTGTGGAAATCTATGCATTAGTATTATGTAAAAGTGTATTACCATGATATATTCTAGAAATACATTTATATTTACATTTGCTTGAGTTTTCACCTTTTTTGTTGAAAAAGAATCCAGACAAACGTGTCCAGATAATCTCGTTTATCCCAGCTAACTTTGACTTTACATAAACTCTGGAGATGTTCTTTATAATAAAAAGCCAGTTTAGTTCAGTGTCCACAGTTTGACACAGCAGGAGCTGATCCTCTGTGGATGTGGTCTCACATCTCAAGTTAGGATGTTTCTGATCTTGTTTTTGTGGCATTAACAATATCAGCTGCTTAAAATAAAACTTACAACCTATTGACGAAAACCAGAAGAACCTGGAACAGTCTGTTCCTATGGTAACTGAGTTTCCTCCATTTTAGGATTAATGAAGTTTCTTTCTTTTCTTCTTTTTTTTACTTTTTTTTTCTGTTTCTGGAATAAAACATGGTCACTTTAATTGTTCTGTCTGAACGTTGTCCTTCAGCTTCACTGTGCTTTTTTCTGGTTTCAATAGGCGTCAAAACGCAGGAGCTTTTTAAGTTTCTAAACACGACAAGAATCCGAAAAGTAACAAATGTGAAATATTTCTGTTAAAACCAAATTAGAAGTCTTGTAAAAACAAGAAACAATATTTAAGGAAGATAAAAACTGCTGTTTTCAAATGGACAAAAATAAATGGTGATGATGATGATGTTGAATTAGCTGTGCTGTATGATGAAGGTGTAATGGAGAAGGCTGCACAGCAAAACAGAATTCACAGCTTCGCCGGTGAAAAATCGTAGATGGGCATAAAGAAAAAGGAACAAAATTGTGTGAGTAAACAGTTTGGTTTTAAGGAAAAATCTGAGAATAACAGAGGCCACAAACTCTAAACCTTCAGGCTTTAATCTTCAACTTTTCTCATATTAGGATGTATTTGCTAAAGCAAGAGAAATGGGGAATATTTTCCTTATCATTTAAGTTTTTTTCACTCATTTGAGCCTTTTTGTGTGCTTGTGGAAATGACCATGGACCTTGTTATATTCTTCTCTCGCCCATAGTTTGGTCTCATTAGGCTTCCTGTGAATGTGCAAATTACCTGCCTCACCTATACTCCCCTAACAAGCAGAATCAAGCTAATAATACTCTTTATTTCAGACTTTGAAAAGATTTTTCTTTAATAATCCAGTCCACAACATGGACTTCCTCTCTTCAGTTTAATTTTGGACCATAAACAAATTGGGAGGGTAAATGGAAGCAGTGGGTGTTTGGCAGTTTTCAGCGCTGATTGTTAGAGAGTGGATGAGGTCGGATGAAGCGGAGCACTTGGGTGCCACTTGAGATGGCATTTGGACGGACAACAAAGAAGCTCTTGAGAGGAGAAGGTTAACAGTGATGTAAACACGTATGAGAGGCTGGTGCCCAGGATTTCAGCTCACCTCACTTTATTTATATATCATCCATTCATCTCAGTGCACAAATCAACGTCTATTAAAGTCTGATTGAAATCCACTTTATTATACAAAACATTCATAGTATGAAATGCCAATTATGTCGTTTTTCAAAGTAAAATTGAAGATTGTCAGAAATAACTAAGCCCTCTTTTGAAGAATCTTCTCTCAATAGAAGCTTCTTAAATTACTATTTAAAGCTCTCATGTCATAAATAAAACATCTTAACTTCGTCTATCTGGACTGGGTCAGTGTAAGACTTTGGAATTGATTTACATTTTTCTTTTGAATAAACAAGTTTAATTTGAATGTGAGAAAAACAAATCAGACAAACAAGACGACTGCTCTGATCAAAGCTGGATAAATATATTTTGGTTTATTCTACAAGTAATTTAATTTTATTTAAGCTGGGAACAAACAGAGGTGAAGAAGTTGAGAAAACTGCGATAGATTTTTACATATCAGAATGAAATGACACAGCTGCCTAATTTTGAAAGAAAACAACTTGTTTTATTATATAAATCAAATGAGTAAATCATTTAACAAACCAGAACTAAAAGCAATTTTGAGTGTATTTTTGAATTAAATGAATCAAAAATGTATGAAAATCCAATTTTTCTCTTTTGTTGTTTTAGATTTTTGTCCTTCCAAGATTTGTTTCATGTTTTACCTTTCTATCTGCTTCATAAAACTAACTTGTGTAAAACATGAATATAAACATGAAAATGAGGAAAAGAGGATTTCTTGCCATCGCTGCACTGATTAAAAGAAACGCTGACCTATCGAGAAGAAGTGACGACTTGAATGAAACTAAACAATGAAAACAGGACAGAAGAAGTTAAATGATGACCTAATATTTGGATTAATGTACAATACTTTATTGCAGCTCCAAGGTTTTTCCAAAATGAAGCATCATCTCCTGGTCAAAGAACTTGAAACAATTGTGCACATTCCTGCACATTTTTTCTGTGAGATGTTGTTTCTGTACAAATATTAGCCTCTTATTTTTTAAATATTAAATAGGTCCTCTGGACGGGTTCTTCTTTAATGAAATGTTACATCTCTCCTCCAAGAGACTTCTTCAATCTGAGCAGTTTCAGGTAAACTTATAAGCACTGCCTCCACATGGTGGGCAAACAGGTTTAACGAACATCAACTCTGTCTGTTCACCTGCAAAGGAGGACCATCAGCCAATCATTAGTGCCCTGATTATCACCTTTTTTTTACAGCGGGCTGAGTCATACTTGCAAAAACAGCATTGTAAGAGAGAACTGAACATGGAGGACTCCACCCCTGTTTAATGATGGTTTTTCTTCACAAAAATGGCTTCCTTTACTCCCGTCTCAAACTAGTGTTCTCATCAAGAATGAGAACATCTTCATCCCTGAAAGAGTGAGCACTGGCCTTAACAGCATACGCAATATTACTCTGTTTGTGCCAACACAAACAGAGTAATGTTGTGTATGCTTGTGTAAGTGCCAGGAAGACTGTGATCAGTTGTACTGTATATCAAGAAAAAAAAAATAACAGCCACTGTTCAAAAGAATGGGCCAACACAGAAGAGCTGCATCATCAGGGCAGAACTCTGCAGTTTATTTACAGGCCAGAGTTCACCTGAAACTACTCAGACTAAAGAAGTCTGTTTTAGGAGAGACAAAACATTTCATTAAAGAAGAATCGGTCCAGAGGACCTACTTATTTTATTTATTTTTTTATTGTCTTGTTTTGGTGATGTTTTTAAAAACGTGTCAGTTTATTTCAATGTGCCTTAATAATAAAATCAACTGTCTCATTCTCTTTTTTTTAGATCCATACGCGAAAATCCACCTCATGCAAAATGGGAAGAGGCTGAAGAAGAAGAAAACGACAATCAAGAAAAACACCCTTAATCCTTACTACAACGAATCCTTTAGCTTTGAAGTCCCGTTTGAACAAATCCAGGTACGTTTTCCAAACTTCAGACTCTTTGAATTCTTTCTGCTCAGGATTCTGGTTCATTTTTAGGTCCCAAAAAAAGAGGAAAAAGTCTGCAAACATTTATCAGCTTGAATAAATAYAGCTCATTTATTATTGTTTTAGAGGCTTTTTCATTAACATCATAATCAGTCAATTCAGTTTAAATCGGCCTCGGTTTTGTAATTAGACGAGCCAGTTGCTGAGTGGATGTGATTCTGTGCACTGTGTTATTGCCCGTGGCATTTATCTCACTGCTGTTTCTCTTACAGTACAATGATTACCATCCACATCATCATTTAGCCCAGTTTAACCAAGTATAAACAAGCAGTGATTATGGTCTGTGACACTTTGCGTGATTCGAGGCGAAGTGAAGCGGTAGATTTTATTTATAAAAAACAATTAATAAACGCTGAAAGAAATCACAGCAAACACGGTGATCTCATCAGGCGGGACAGTAATTGAGTGAAATTAATTAAACCTGTCGCAGCTCACAAATCACAGGTTTGATACCGCCAGCCCCAGAATCAATTTAAACAGGGCTGATCCCAATCAACCTTATTCAGAAGCACGCTGCAGCTGGTACACCTGTCGGCCCGCATCACTGAGCCCAGATCCACGGAATCATGGATCAGTTTTATTGAACACGTCAGAGATTACATTAAACACACATTTTAGGATCTACTTTTACTTTTACAGATTGATCAGAAATAGATAAGTTGTTTTAAACAATGTTAAGTTACGATAAATTGATGTTTCAGGGAATACTTTTTAAATGGTTTGTTTTTCTAAAAAGGCCCTTTTAATTTGTGTCAAACACTAACATGCATGTTACTTAATAACCTAATAAGATATGAAGTTTTGACTGTTTTTGGTTTTACTTTTACAACCTTTTGTTGCCTCTGTTCTAACTGTTTAAAATAAGTTTCTACCATAAAATTTAAAAATACCTTTGTTTTAATGGAGCTTTTAATGTGTTTACTATATTTAATTGGGAATAAGATATTGGTTTCCAAGATTTTGTATTTATCTTACACATCCCCACRTTTTCAGAATTGGGGTTTTGAGACATCTCATGTTTTTAAATCATTTTCCCCACATTAAATCYTTCAGTTGGGGTCTACATAAAAGAAACTGTAATTCTTTAGTCTGAATTCCTCCTTATTGTAATGCCACAAGCCCCTCTTTCACCACTTTCCTGAGCTGTGTCTCAGATCAACTCGTTTTGAGGCTGTTTCTTCAAATCCAAACAAAGAGCTTCTCACCCTGCCCCCCTTCAGCTTCCTGACTGATGTAGCTGTGCAGAAACTTTTCATTTACAAATGAATTAAAATATGTCAAGGGAAGACTTTCCAGCCTTACATGTTGGAGCCAGAGTCTGACCCAGGGCTAAAGGAGAATAAAGACCACCAAATATCAGTTGGTAAGTCCAACATTTTAGACAGCTTATGCCAACTTATGATTACTAATAAAAGTTATACTTTTTTAAATTTTATTTTCAGCTTAGACATTTTTAGTGTTGAACAAACTTGGCATAAGTTAGCATAAAGTGTCTAAAACATAGYCAAGGTTTTTATGTCAGTTCCGTRGCAAATAATTTGATGTAATAGTTGRGAAAACGTCATAAAAAATAGAGAAAACTGAACAGGTTGAAAAATATGACCCAAACAGAATATAAAGATATCTTTGCAGCACCAGGAGAGACTAAATTCAGCATGTCTGCCTCCTAGAGGCTCCAAGTGTACAACAAAATGTATTTAATGGCTAAAAAATAGGATTTTGCATGATCTGTCCCTTTTTAAATCAAATAGCAAATTTATCTCAATAGCTGAAATAAAAGAAAAATGTATTCTAATACAAATCTGTGTGAACTTTTCTCTTTCTGTAAAGAAACAAACCAACTGTACCAAGGTTTAGCTTTTTGTTGGAGGTAAACTGAAAAAAGCCGGGAACTTTTACTGATCATTTTGCATTTAAAGAAAGTCCGACTGAACCAAAGTAATCAGCTTTTACAGAACATCATCAGAAGTTCCCYGGTTACAGAAGCTCCTGTACTGTTGGTGAAAACCAGCTCAGCTGCAGTCATTTAGTCTCTCCTCCCATCATGTTATGTTCTTCTAATGCTTGTCCACGTTAGAGACGATGGAACCTGGTCGCTGATGAGCAACAGGAGAATCTACATATTTGCTCTCAAAGGAAACCTCAACCTAATCATGAATTTAAAGGCAAACTGCTGCTTTAAACAGCAGCTAACCCCACCTGGTCATCAAGGAGTCTCCCTCAGTGCTTCATTACACGCAGCTCTTTTAAAGCAACCGCTTCGAGCTCACGCAGGGAGCGCCAGCTCCATCTCAGCATGCCGGTGGATCGAAACTTAATCAGGCTGCTTTGTGCACTAATTCATATTCTGTGCCACGGATTGACGACCGGGTCACTCCTCTCTGAGCAAACACGCAGCGAGGCAGAGGGCCGGACCTCTGAGTAAGCAAACATTCAGCTGGGTTTGGCTCAGAAAATAACTGTTAATCAACACTAATGTCTGAAGGAGCCGTTCGTTCMCTGCACTACCACTTAAAGAAGCCTCTATTATTCTTCATCCTCATCAAATCAGCTTTTAAATATAGAATTCAAACCACTTCACATTGAGCAACAATCAATAAGAAGCTGGTTAGTTTCTCTCAGCATCAAGTTGTTTCTGGTTTTGAACACAAGTGAGATAAAAACACGTAGCACCTGAGGGATGTGAAACTTGTTAAAAACAAACTGACAGGTGACAAAAGGAGAAAGAGCTGCAGAAAAGATGGATTGACACGAAGCAGCTCTTGGAGATTATCCCTTTAAAGGGAAACCAGTCTGACGGTTTCACACTTGGGTTTGACAATAAAAAACTGTGACGTTCTGCAAACAAATGAGCCACAGTCGGGTGTAATCAGAAAAGGGAGTGGATCCATCTCACAGCTAACAAACTCCTGAAAACGAGAAGGTGGATTGAGGCCTGGCGAGTGTTTGTTTTAGTTTGAAGATAAAACACAAAGTAAATGAAAGCCAGGCTTTAAAGAACATAAAGCTGGGAGTGAAAAACAAAGCTGACATGTCTCTGACCTCATATATTTTGTTCAGAAGCAAAAAGACAGGAACCAGATAATAGTCAGTTGGCTAAAAGAGTTAAAGTTCATGGATTCTCCGTCCTTATAATATAATGTGTGGTGGAGTGGCTAAAACAGACAAGTGGACAGTTTCATAACCAGCTCCATGTTTGTTGTTTCCCCACCTCCCTCCTTCCTCTCTGCAGAAAGTGCAAGTTGTTATAACTGTTCTGGACTATGACAAGATCGGAAAGAACGATGCCATCGGCAAAGTGTTTGTGGGCCTGAACAGCTCGGGCACGGAGCTGCGCCACTGGTCCGACATGCTGGCCAACCCRAGGAGACCCATCGCCCAGTGGCACGTGCTGAAGCCCGAGGAGGAGGTGGACGCTCAGCTCGCCACCAAGAAATAGGCAGGGCCCCTTTCAGCTCCTGCCTTGTAGTACTCTTTAGCCAGTATATGTGTAAATACCTCAGTGATAAATGGGTCCATCCATGTAACTCCGCCCTTTACTCCCACCTTTGAGCCTCCTGATTTCACTRGGTAAAAGTTCAAACATCCCCCCGACATCTTGCTTTATTATTATTTTTTTCTATCAGGTTCTTTGTGTTCCTTTCTGATTTAGCAGTTTCCATCTCTGAGCCCTTCACCYCCACGACCAAAAGCCCCCTTCTTTTAAGCAATATGATCTGTATAGATAGCGCATGACTGAAAGAATTTATTGTACCACAGTTGTATATATAAGTATGCAGACAGAAATGATTTCTAGTTTATGTGTTTGTATGTTGTTACCCGTTTCCTAATCTGTGTATACCTTGATGTTTTTAATAAGATGTTCTATTTTAAATTATGTAAATGCAGATATAGAGGAAAGCCAATATTATATATACCAGGATTTAAAAATTCTACCTTAATTACCTTATTGCATTCCAGAAAAATGGTTATCTCCAACTTGCCAGTGGGAGTATGTTCATATAGTAAAGGACGCCGCCTGGCTTTAAGTTCAGCATCAAAGAAGAGAAAAACAGATGAATTAATTGACAAAACTCCCAAAAAAACACAAGGCCATTAACTGCTATGGTTCTGTGAGGAAAATTATGCTGCTGGAAATTAAACAAGCACATGATTTTTAATYTTTTATACCTATTTCTTAATCAGAGGACCTGCAGTATGAGTTTGGCTTAAAATAATATTTATATTTCTTTGTTTGTTTTTTTTTGGTCATATTTGGTAGAAAAAAAGGTCAAATATTGCTGGTTTTCTTTTCCGAAACAAAGTTGAGTCYTGATCCTTGGGGAAAAAAATAATAAAAAATTGACGCAACGTGAAAGGAAAAAAAAAGCACTGAGCTGTTAGCCACTGTGCCCTTAAAACTTGTTCGACAATATTTTGTGTAAGCAGCCTTGTCGTCGTTGGAAYTGTCGTGTTCAGGTTTAATCTTTGAAAAGGGTGACTTAAAAGAAATAAAAAGCTGCGGCTCTTGTTTTAAGAATAACTTTAAGGAGGGGAAAAATCAGCGTTTTGACTTTTATTTATTTTTTAGTAAAATGCATGATTGTTTTATACGATCCTAAAGCTGACAGGCGAGATCTTCCGACACTAGGGGGAGCCCTTACGATAAAATCACCTCGCCTTCAATCAGAAGAAGAAAAAAAAAACGCATAAAGTTTAGGTCGACGTAAAGTTGACGGAGCTGAGGTGAGTCTAACACTGCCATTTTCAGGGAGGTGACTGGTGTCGAAGCCCTCTCTTCATGCACACTCCCACTCGTCAGTGGTTGTAGCTTTGGTTTATTGGGAACAATGTCTCTGGCTGCAGTGGTGCCCTGAATCGCAGTCTTTGCTTTGCGTTGCCTTCTTACAGTGACAATAGAGCTAGCCATGTTTTACTGCCAATTTGAACTTTTTATGTGGCTGCTTTTTTTGCACTGGATGTCTTTGAACTCACTTGTTGACTTTAGGAAACATTTGCTTCGTGTCAGGACACCTGCAGGGGTAGCCYGAGATCCTCAGCACTGGAAAATTTCGACGGAACCCAGAAAAGGTCGAACATAGAATTTAAGAGTAGAGGGGGAAATCTGTTCCCTTGGTTTAGTGAAAACATTGATTCCAACAGCTCAACTAAAAAAAATTTTGTAACAAATTTTTTTACGCACTAATTTTTGCACATTTTTTAGTAGTTTGTTTTGAAGGAATAAAAACGAGAATATGAGCCTGAGGCACCTTTCATCCACCCTCCTCAGTGTGATTTATGAAWGGACCGAGGCAGCATGAGGAGTCAACCTGCTGCTGTTACGCCTCTGAGCCATGAAGGGAGGTAGTCACACAGCTGTAATGATTGATGCATTAAAGGTTAACATTGCACTGTAGAACGAAGGTATGATGGCAGACGGTCTGTGCCGTGGGATTTTGAATCGGGAGGTGTCCAACGTATGCATAGTACACTCCACACCTCCTATTGTTCTGCATTGCCAGCTTTATTTACAAAAGGAACATCGTGGAAAATGAGCAGCTTGATTGATGATTACGAAACGGGAAGCTTCTAAAAGGAGCATTTATACTTTTTATTACAGAACTGTTTTGTAAAACGCTTCAGAAATGTCAACCAAAAGAAAAGTTACCAAATCTGTGCATACGGTTTTCTAATCCAAAGAAACAAATCATGAAACGAAATTCACGGTTCTCTAAACAGAAGAAACTGATTCTTTCCACTTTTCATTCTACTTCTGCTTTTTGCTGGGTTCCGTCCTTTTCAGCCAACGGCATCCACTTTGTTTTCTTGTTGGCACATGACTACACCTGGAGAGCAGGAAATAACCGTACAAGTTAATGGTCTGCGTGGTCCATCGTGTCCTTTACTACGGGTCCAGTCAGGAGCGGAATAATCCATTAAAAACCATCCAGTCTTTTATCTTGGAGGAACCTCTTGCATATACTCGATGCTTATACTTCAGGAGGACTTTCTAAATGTTTTCAATGTTATTGTGTAGTTGATAGCACTAWTATGAAAAAGCTACTTGTCATTCCATAGGAGTCTCTGAGGACTGCTTTGTGTATCACTGTGACTGCCGTGTGTGCTTAGAGATGTAGATCTATCAGTAGGTAGCCAGTTTGTTCTGTAGTGATGTCGTAGCGTTTAATGCCATCCCCCCTCCCCCTTCTACACGCAACAAGAGAGAGGAAGAGCGCGCGTGCACGCCTGTTTGACGTCACGCGTTTTTTTTTTGTTTTGTTTTTGTTGTTTTTTTTGTTTTGTACTGGAGCAGGTCGCTTCACACAGCATTTTGTTGAGCACTGTGCAATACTTGTATGTTCATCCCATAGTGTTAACGTGGGTGGCGTCGCCCGAGAAAAGACAAACCCCAGAGGATGACGTTTCTCCTTTCCAGTGCYATGGTTAGGACACAGCACACCGTAGACTCAGCTTATATAGGTTGGAGCTTGTTCACCTCTGTTTAGGGTTCCCTCCCTTTTTTTTTTCATTTCCTCCTCTTGCATACAGTTCCAGCATCAGAGGTTTCAGGGAGTCTTAGTTCAAAACCAAACAAGAGAAAAAGCCCTTAGAAATGTATATATTCACATCATGCCAGAAATGTATATCAATAATAAATATAGTGACATAAATGATTAATCAGCAGCAAATATATTTCATCCACTAATTAAATCTCATTTGTTTTCTGTTTTGTTGATTAAAAAGCCCTTTTATATTTGAGATAAAAACTCTGAATGTACAGTATGAACTGTGTTGGTTTAGATTTCTTTAACCGTGAGATTATTAGATGTACTTTGCACTTTTTGTTGTAAAAACAAGAATATATATGGTAGTTTTGTTAAGCCCCCTCCACACACACACACACTTTTTCATTCACATCTCTTTTTATGGGGTAAAAGCTCTCGCCTGATTCCAAAAATCATCMTATAAAACTTCCACAGGTTCTTTTATTTGTCACGTTTCACACACAAATTCCAGAACAGCTTCAGATTAAAAAAAAAAAAAAACTAGACAGATTAAAAAATAAATAAATAAAAAAAGGCCAAATCAAGAGAAACACTAACTCTAAGTTTGCACTTGAAGGAATCCTCCGGTCAGACTGGAACGTGTTGGAGTGTTTCAGGAAACCCAGTAACGGTGCAGGCGTTGCAGAACCCATCAGACTGTGAGGTGGAAAAAAACTAACGAAGCAAAAGCCATTACCTGCACTGCGACGTGTTGCTCCTCCTATTACGGTTTCTGACCAAAGTATGCACGCATAATCAAACGCCCACAATTCTCCTCTTGGAAACAACAGACAAAGCTCTCTGTGTGACAAAGTTCTCTCCAGCGAAACGCCACACTGACCTTTCAAAAGCAAAGCTGTGTAAAGTATTAGAATCTGATGCTGTAGAAAGATCCTAGTTGCCTTTGTGTATATCAACTGCCTGCTTGAGTATTTTGTGTGTGGAAGTTTTCTCTGTAATCTTGTAGAACTGTTTGGGGTGTTTTTTCCTGCCATATTGCTCGCAGCCACAGCGGGCTGCTGACCWGTTATATTTGCTGTGTATACCTTTCATTTTTGATCAGGTGTTTTACAGTTTTGTTTCACTTTGTGTAGTGATTCACTCTGTGGAGTTTTCTGACTGTTGTTATATAACTTCATATACAAAAATGATCAATAAAATGTTTTATTTCCTGTTGATACGTCTGTTGTGGTGGTTTTATTTTGTTGAGCTCACAGCAGCTTTCATCTATGACTCACTGCTCAAACAGAAAACATTCCTCTGTTTTTAAGAGTGTGTGTGTGTGTGTGTGTGGGGGGGGGGGGTCTGCGTGCCTTACGTGCATGTCTAATTTTTTATGGATTTTAGTTTTGTTTATCATTTTAAAGCTTGTTAAGAAAGACGACACTGCCATCTACTGGACAAAAAGACATTTCTCAACTGAACTTTGGAAAAACAAGGAGAATATTTGTTTTTGTCCTGATGAGATCAATTCTTATTAGTGARTGTTTAATAATGTGTACCAGAGCATATTGAGAAGACAGTTGTCATCCTGGAAAGTGCTGCTGCTACGAGATGAAGCTCAGCTGACGACAGTTTGATTTTACTAAGATATAAACCTTACAAGAAAATGCCAATAAATTTGATCTTTTAGTTGTATCTTTACATTCATGTCTGGCTGTAGAAATAAAGCCATGTTTTTAAAACTGAGTAAAGTCTTCAAACTTACAAATGTTTTGTGATTGGTTTCAGTTTATTCACGTTTTGCATGATTTCCATGAAGCGTACTTGCAAAAAAAAATGTTGATTTTTCTCCTTTTTGAAAGTCATACACACTGATGAAAGTAAKGCAAAGTTACTGCAACATTTATTGATCTACAAATAGTCAATTTGTCTGCTCATAAAGAGGAAGACCAAACTCAAATGTCTATTTCTAGGGTACTTTTTTACGTACTGCAAACAGCTGCAGGAGGAAATGGCAGATTTGTATCACATCAGATATGATGAAGCATTACAACCAGATCATCTCTGAATGCAAGTGAAGTTAAACGTGGCTTTGAGTGCACTTTTGTTTTTAAATTGCAATCCAATCAATAAGATGACATCAGCAGCGTCCTCTTAATTAAAAACGCATGTAAGTCACATTTCACTTGTTGTCAATGTATTTTTTTTGCTTGTATAACACCTACGCATCAAAATGAGACACAAAACGATCGACTCAAGTAGTTAATATACACTCACCGGCCACTTTATTAGGTGCACCACGCTAGTAACGGGTTGGACCCCCTTTTGCCTTCAGAACTGCCTCAATTCTTCGTGGCATAGATTCAACAAGGTGCTGGAAGCATTCCTC